AAGCCAATTTTTCAGAAAAAATCAAAGGATCTTGCAACTTGGTAAAATATAACACATATATCAACTAATAAACAAAATCAGTTAAATGTTATTACTGCCTGTGCCAACTGGACAGAACTATATGGAGAGAGAGAGCGAGAGGGAGATGCAAGGAGAAAGAGTGAGAGAGAATGCTTTCTATGGTGCACCTTCCTTTTTCTTTGCTTTTGATTCATTTCTTCACTTCCCTTTCATCCTCATTCCATTTTCTTTTCTTCTGAATTCCTTCCTTTTCCTCTCTTCAATTCCCTCTCCTTTTTCATTTCCTCCTATTCCCTTCCTTCTCCTCCCTTCCATCCCCATCCCCTTTCTTTGCCTCTGAATCCCATTCCTTTCCTCTCCTCCATTCCCGCCCCTTTTCCTCTCCCTCCTTTAAAATCCACAGCAACACCGACCTTCGCACGAGCTGGAACGGCCTCGCGAAGCCACAGGGTCAAAAAGGGCCGCCCACGCCTGTTATCAGAGCCAACAGACACAAAATATATATCAAACACAAACAAAGCCGCGTTTAACATGCTATCATTACTTGTTGAACGGCACGACACCCTCGACCAATGGCACTCGAAGAAAACTTTCACAATATTTCACTGGCACAAAACACACGTCTCAGTCCAGTGCAACATGATTATTCAACCGCCCTCCTCCATCATCGTCGTCGACCGCCACAGCCGTATTTCTCATCAAAATACGAATAAATACGAACGTGTTTCTCTTATACGAATGGAAAAAAGACCGTAAGCGGGATCATAATGTTCGTCCTTAGCTTTTCTACGAACGACATTCTCACGATTCATACAATAAAACTTGCAGGAAGTGACAGTCATGACAATACTGTGAATAACGGTCCACAACACTACTTTACGTAAATCGGCTGACTGTTCCACACAATTATTTCCGTACGCTCTGACCACTTCCCTTAATCCACACTGCTGGGTCTTGATAATGATTCTTCCACATTCCAATTCCACATGGTAGCGTCTATATCATGCTTCCACATTTTAATTCAAAACAGGAGCATCTAACTCATGCTTACTCCACATTCCGGGTCCACACCGTAGCGTGTACACCATGCTTCCTCATTCTAATCTCACACTGTAGCGTCTATATCCTGCTTAACCCGCATTCTATTTCCACACAGTAGCGACTACATCACTTATTCCACATTCTAGACAGACGATTCGCATCAGTACTTCCACACACAGCTCGCACCATTTCCAAATCGATGGACAATTTAATGAGACCAATAGAGCTTCACACCTAAAGTCCACTCAAGTCTTTTATTATATGGACTCAGTTTCACACCCAAAATCCACACAGGTTTTTGTCTATAGAGATGTCCCTGCACACCCTAAGTCCACACAAATCCTTCTATAACATGGACTTCACATAAGTCCACATAAAACCTTTGACTATATGGACATCGCCGCACACCCAAAGTCCACACACGCCTTTTAACTTCGTTTCAATCGCCCCCATCCTACCTGGTCTCCTTCGTTCCCTCACCGCCCAACAACAGCACCAAGGGGGAGCATGCGACCTTGAGCCTTATGGCACAATTTCCCTCCCGCACGCGCAGTGTTCCCAGCGTGAGGAGAGCGCTGCAGGGCCACAAACTCACCTCCTGCTTCAAAGTGCTTCTTGCTTTCGTAATGCCCTACGTAACACGTGCATTCTTGGACTCGGTGTGATTGAAAGGGAAAGCGGGAGGTGTAAAAGAGAAGGAGGGAATATAAGAATTTCAAATGAGGACGATGAAATGCAGATTGGAGTTAGCTATTATGACAAAAAGAAAAAAACAAAAGAAAAAAAAATATGATAATAATCGTAATAAAAACTAACGGCTAAAAACTTTTAATGGCACAATAATAGCAATGTTAATTATTATAATTATGATAACAGCGGTTGTGCCATTAGTAGTATCAGTAGCATCATTAGAGATAAATTGTAAAAGTAGCAAAAACTGTGACGGTAGTAGTGGTAAGAAATAGTTGCATCAGAACAACAAAGTAGTAGGAATGTTCTTATAATAGTATATATCATCACTAACAGCATTACTTATACTAGCAGAAATGATAACGGCAGTAATACCAGCAACAGTAGCAGCGCTAAAAGTAGTAGTAGTAGTAGTAGTAGTAATATTATTATCATTAGTAGATGTAGTAGTAGTAGTAGTCATCGTAGTAGTAGTAATAGTTTTAGCAGTAATAATAGTAGTGGTAGTAATAGTAATAGTAGTAATAGTAGTAGTAGTAGTAGTAGTAGTAGTAGTAGTAGTAGTAGTAGTAGTAGTAGTAGTAGTAGTAGTAGTAAGTAATAGTAGTAAAAGTAGTAGTAGTAGTAGTAAAAGTAGTAGTAGTAGTAAAAGTAGTAGTAGTAGTAGTAGTAGTAAGTAGTAGTAGTAGAAGTAATAGTAGTAATAGTAGTAGTAGCTATAGTAGTAGTAGTAGTAGTAGTAGTAGTA